ATTTGACCCCTCAAACAGAAATAAAGAGGAATCCTCTTAGGACTGTGTACTTTGAGAAAGACATTTTGGGAAACATGATTTCAAGGGAATGACCAGTTAAAAGAAGGCTGTCATTCACATATGTGTTTTGGTCTTTGACAATTATGCCTTCAGACTCAGACGTGTAGGTTTTGTTGTTTAGCATTACTATAGTCTAAAAGGAAGGGCTTAGTGATCAGTGCTGGTTATGACTTCTGGGGGGTCTGAGAGATGAACAAACACGCACACACACATGCACACACATACACATACATACACATGCACATACACACATACACACACATGTGCGCACACACAGTACTCCAAATCCTAAAACAGAGAAGTGTGTTTGTAAAGTCAGAGTCAGGTCAAAAGCATCTGAAGCAAGTACGTAGGTTGTGCAGCCTCTTCAAAGGCAGTTCATCTAAAAAAGACACTTGCAGTATGAACCTGCAGAGTGACAAAGTAATAAACCATTCAGCACAATAGCAATTGGGTTTCCCAGCCTCTGTGAGAAACTAAAATAAACACCCGCACCAGTGCACTGCCAACAGTCTCTTCTAAATTAGAGGACAGAAGCGATGATTTCATTAATTGATGCTTCGGTGGCTAGCTAAATATTATTTGCCCCACAAGCACTGTACTCAAAATTTACAGTAGCAGAGCAGCCTGTAGCAACCCAAATATTGATTGATTGAGTCATAAAACCCAAGGTTATTAACCCAAATATCTTCTTGCTTTGAATAAAACTAATTGCAAGGCCAGGGGATGCAATTCCTGAGACAATTACCGGGAATGGAGACTTTAATGGCTTTGTCTTGTTGTTTTGCATAAATAGATGGCACTGCCTAATCCAGGCTACTGGGCGAGTTTCCTTCCATACTTGAGTGTGAGTCAGAAATGCATCTCACCCTGAGCCCAGGTGATTCTTTACCTGAAGCTAACATGAGTACGTTCCAAGTGTGAGATTTGTGTCCCCAAAGCAGTGCAAATCCTGGGGCAAACGTCAGTAGCTAAATATGCATTGTGAGCCACAAGGGAAAACAAACCCAAGTATAAGCCATCAAACAATGAAATGCACCTCTATCGCCAAGGCCCTCTGTAGTGTTTGGCCAGTCAGACGTAAAACTACGCAGAAACTCTAGTTGGCTGTGGGGCCAGCGAAGGAAGGTAGAGGGGGGATTTTGCACTTTCAGGGTGTGTTTTTCTGAGGGGAACTAGGCAGCTGTGGCCCACTTAATTGCTGCAGGATAAGATGGATGAGGTGCAGTCAAGGCCTCAAAGCAGACTTTCTGGGCTGGCACTGTGGTGTAGTGGGTAAAGCCACCACCTGCAATGGCATCCCATACGGGCACCAGTTCATAACTCAGCTGCTCCACTTCTGGTGCAGCTCCCTGCTGTGGCCTGGGAAAGCAGTGGAAGGTGGCAGAAGTGCTTGGGCCCCTGCATCCATGTAGCAGGCCTGGAAGAAACTCTTGGCTCCTGGCTTTGGATCAGCCCAACTCTGCCGTTGCGGCCATTTGGGGAGTAAACCGGCTGATGGAAGATCTCTGTCTCTCTCTCTCTGTAAAATCTGTCTTTCAAATAAATAAATCTTTTAAAAAAGCAGACTTCCTGCCTGGAGGAGGAAGACAAAGCCAACGGGAGGGGCAGTGAAGGTGGAACTTGGCGTCTGGGGTGTGGTGACAGGCAAACTTCAGCAGCACCAGCAGCCATCCATGAGATGGGGCCCATGACACACGGATGTGTCCCATGAGGCAGGTCAAGTATTGCCATTGAGAATACTGGAGAAAGTGGCATGCAAAAATCCAGGAATAGTTGCAAATCCGTAGGCTCCTAGACCCAGGGACAAGCAGTAGGCAGGATTATAAGTGGGAAAAGACTCAGACCATCAGAACAAGACGGAAGACTATGGGCCAGGACAGAAGCCAGGTGTATAACAGAGACCCAGCACTACAGGGCTGGAGTTGTACGGAGTCGTATTCCTGTCTCATGCAACTCTGCAAGACAGGAAGGGGAGGTCATGCAGGGCTCTGTGAGCTTCCCTAGAGACACAGGAACCTGTCCACTGTACTTGATTGGCGTCTGTCTTTGTGCCTAAGGCTCCGGTTGTCCCCTTCTTTTGTTCACAAATGGCTGCCCAGCACCACACTGGAATTCCAGCTGTGGGAAAGAGAATATAGGCCAAGAAAATTTAAGCACTTGGGCCATCTTCCACTGCTTTCCCAGGCACATTAGCAAGGAACTGAATCGGAAGTGGAGCAACCAAGACACAAATTGGAACCCAAATGGGATGCAGGCAGCAGTTGAACTCACTTAGCCCTAACACCAGCCCCAGTAAATCTTTTAAAAAATAAATAAAATTCAAGGAGGGGGGTTGTAATAGTTTCCAGTGGCTGCTGCAACAAACTACCAAAAACATGATGAAAAACAGAAAGTTATCCAGTTATGGTTCTAGAAGCTAGAAGTTCAAAAAATCCATTTTGCTGGAACAAAATCCAGGTATTGTGAGGGCTGCACCCCCTGTAGAAGCTCTGGGGGAAAATCTCTTCCCTGCTTCTTTCTGCTTGTGGTGGTTGCTGGCATGCCTTGGTTTGTGTCTCTGACTTGGTGGTCTTCTGTCTGTGTAGTCTCCCTCTAACTCCTTTACAAAGATTTTTTTATTTGAAAGGCAGAATGATGGAGAGAGACAACAGACAGGCATACTGACAGAGATGAAGCCATCTTCCCTCAACGAGTTCCCTCCCCAGATGCCTGCAACAGCCAGGGTTGGGCCAGGACATTGAGCATACCGGATGTGGTGACATCCAAGAATCCAGGAGGGATCACAGGTCAGCCAGGTGCCAGGAATTCCATCCAGGTCTGCCAGGTGGTAGCAGGAACCCAAGCGTGTGGGCCATCAGCCTCTGCTTTCCAGGCACACTAGCAGGATGCTGCATCTCAAAGTGCGGAGCAGCCGGGATTCACACTGGCAGCACACGTGCCATCGCATTGCTAGGGCTCATCCAGTTATCCAGGATCAGTGCCCTTAATGTAATCAGATCTGCCAGACTCTCTTTTCCAAATAAGGTAACTTTTATAGGTTCTGGGGAGGAAGAACAGATGTTTTGGGGAGTTGGGATTCAGCCTCCGTGGGGTACTCAATAACCAAAAGAAGGGAGGCGAGGATGGCCCCTGCAGCACGCAGCAATCACAAGAGGGAAACTGATCTGGGCAGCGTGCCTCCCCCGGTGCTAGTCCTCCCCCGGTGCTAGTGCCTCCCCCTGGTGCTGTGCACCACGCAGGCGCCAGTTCTTCCAGCTTTCCCTGTCGGGTTCTAGATTGATGTGGGATCTGGCCCAGCTGGGGCACAGTGGGGCAGGTGGCCCTGCCATGAGGGAGCAAGGAAGCAGGAGCCAGGAGCCTGTGCTTGCAAACTGTGTGGTCCCCAGCGAGCAAGCTCCGTGAGTGCGACACAAGGATTCGCATGAGGTTCTTGGGGCCATAAATAAATAAATATCGAGGCCTTGAGACGCCCTGTCTTTCTCAGAAAGCATCGCCTTCTACCTCCACAGGCCTTACCCTTCTCATCCTCATTGTCTCTCCACCCCAAGACCCGAAAGTCCAGATGCTTGTTAGTGAAACAAATCCCCTTTCACCCACTACCCCAGTTTTACTTCAGAGAACTAGCCACTCTTAAGTCTGATGTTTCCTTGTTTTTTTTTTTTCTTCTTTTTAAAAGTTTTATTTGTTTATTTGAGAAAGAGAGAGAGAGACAGAGCTCTCATCTGCTGGTTCACTCCCTAAATGCCTGCAATGGCTGGGGTGGCCCAGGCTGAAGCTGGGAGCTGGGAGGGAACTCGGTCCAGGTCTCCCGTGTGTGTACAGGAACCCGATCACTTGAGCTGTCTCCACCACCTCCCAGGGTCTGCAGTAGCAGGAGGCTGGAGTCGGGATCTTGAGCTAGGTATCAGAGGCAGTTACCCCCAAGGGAGACATGGGCGTACTAAATGTACTCTTAACTGCGAGGCTGAATGCTCACCCCCTGACTTCTCTATGTGTGCTCACAAGCACACACAGGAAAACACAGGGGTTCCTTTGTGCATCGATCATATTATGTCCTACATGTGTTTTATTTATTCACTTGCTAAAACACCATACATATTGCTCCTTGTTGATTGAAATGATAAATTTGATGCTCACGCATGCCAGGTGAGATCTGAGCACTTTACGTCTTTCACTTCCATGTCAGTCTCCCAGTCACCTGTTGCTTTCCTCCCTTAAAGATGACAAAACATTCATGGTGTGCTTAGGTGACTTACTTGCCCAAGGTCACACATTTGGTGAGTGGCGCAGTTAGGATTTGAACCCAGCTCCCTGCTATGGGAAGCTCACTTTTTGCTAGTTTCCTTTCTGGTCATTATGCTTCTGCCATGGACATCCTTGCAAGTGCTTGTCACACAGGTCTGCCGCTGGGGACCATGGCAGTAGTTGCCCCAGAGAAGTTCAAGTTTTGCATCACCATCTCTTCGATTTCCCTGGAAGCCAGCACGATGCCTCTGCTGCTGCACGGCTGCTGTTGTGCAGAGCGCTTGGCCTCAGCTGCCCCCAAGGCTTGCTGTGCAGAGGAACCTGCTCTGTCCCAACGCCTCCCCTCATTTCTCCTCTGCCTCCAGATTTGGGCTCTGGTTTGGCTCAGCATCTCTCTCTCCTACTCAGGTAAACCGGAGCCTTGCCTGGCACCTTCTGTAGGGAAATCTGTTGTCAACATGATGGTTTTCATCTCTTCCCTAGGGTCCTGGGTGGGCCCTGCTTCCTCTGTTCCCACAGCAAATAGAAAATCTTTGTCATTGTCAGCAGCCAGTGTCAGCCTCTGGTCCTGATCTCCCTGCTGGCCTGGAGCAGGCAGCCAGGGCCTGGTGCTAATGGCCTTCTGCTCCCCTTCTGGGCTGTAACCATGGAAACAGTTGCCATGGAGGGGCTACATCCCCCCCTTCCTGTCTGTTCCCATCTCAGGTGCTCACCTACAGAAGGGCTCTGTCGCTCCCACTCTCCCATTTCCTCCCTTCCTATCATTGAATCCTTCTCTTGTGCACCTGCCCATGGGCCCCTGTGCCTGCCATCTTCAGTTGCCCCCTCAGAGAACAGAGACTATGGTGTGAAGGTGAATGGCTCCCACCCACAAAGGTCAGACCCAGATGCTGGTGGCTGCTGGTGGGGCAGGGGACAGTTCTCCTTAGAGAATCTGAAGGTGGTAGCCTGACCCTGGATCTCTGGGGGCTAACAGCCCTGTCTGGGTGGGAACAAATGAGTGACTCCCAGGTGCTAGGATACAAGGCTCAGCCACCTCATGGCTCCCCGGTGGGCCGCTTTCTGGGGAGACTGGTTCATGCCCATAGCCCTTGCCCACAATGGCCCCCAGCCCTGGCCAGTTGCAGTCCTGGCTCCCTGACCTGGTTGCTGTAGGAGTTTCCTCAGGCCTACAGCCTGAGCAACGCAAAGAAAGCAAAGCAGTGACCACTGCCTCAGCCACAGAGACACCAGGGTCTCAGGAGGAGGCGCAGGCAGAGGTGGCAGCTGGATCCTCACAGCCTGCGGGCCCTTGACCTGTCCCCTCCAGGAACCTGGGCCCCCTGCTCTGGCCTCCCCAGTGCCCTGTATCCTTCTTCCCTGCCCATGCTGCTCTCCCTGACTTGGTGGCAAGGTCGGGGTGAGTGCCTCGGTTAAAGGGGCCGCCTCTTTCCCGGCCTTCCTGCTTCTCCCTCTGAGGCACTGCAGGGAGGGGAGGGGCTGTTGGGGCCCCACTCCTCCACAGGCCAGTGGTAACCCAGCTGTCCTCCAGCTGCCCCTCAGTGGCCTGTGCACTTGGCTTCAACCACTTCCAACCCAGATAGCCCAAAGCCTGGGCCAGCACTGCCAAGAGTCCCTGGGACTGATAATGTGAAGTTTCTCTCCACCTCCGCTTTCCGCGACTCCTGCCCACTCTTGATCAGATCAGATGCAAAGCTCAGGTCTCGGCCGTATCCACAGAGAGGCCCCACCCAAGCATTCTGTGTGTTTGGTCGGCTTTTCTGAAAGTGTAGGCGCCACAGCCAAGGCCCCAGGTGGAAGTTCAGGGCTTTTGCGGTCTGACCAGTGGCCACTTTCCCTCTCCCCTCCCGTCCCTCTCAAACCAAATGCACCCCTCTCCTTGTGGGTAAGCCATGCAGTGTCCACTTTGGGTGGCAGAAACTTGCTCTTGGGGTCACCCTCCACCCAAAGGTTGGTCCAGGTGTTTCTCCCAAACACACACCAAAATCTCCCTGAGGGCCAGGGATAAACATTTTAGCATTGTATGACACTTCCCCCTCCTGGACTTCAAGAGAGATCTCATAACTCTGCTCCCTGATCCAGTTCCCTGTACGGTGGTCCTCAGAGTGGGGCCCTGGACCAGCAGCTTCAGCATCATCTGGGGACTGGTGAACAATGAGGACTCTCAGCCCCACACCAGCCCCACAGAACCTGCAGCCCTGGGGTGGGGCAGACCACCCTCCAGGTGTGCCTGATGCACTCAAGTCAGAACCGTGGCCCCACAGCTCCCTCTCAGGCCGTCTCTCTTTCCTGGGAAGAAATGCATCCTCTTCCGGCCCATCACAAGGCCAAGGTGGCTTCTGAATGGGTGTGATTTCCCTGCAGGTAAGACACTGCAGTCAGCACTTGCTAGCCCAGACCCAGCTCTGTCTTTGACCAGGAACCAAACTTTCCTGTAACCTATCAGGAGCAGCTAGCTGTCCTCCAAGGGTAAGCAAGAGAGATGCATCAGGTCCTACCCCTCCCAGGGGCGCTTTGGTGGAAGAGGTCAAGAATACTTAAAGTCTCAAGCTTTGGGTAGGGCAAGACTTAGGGGAGCACCATGGTTTTCCTGGCTGTCTCGAGACCATGGTGTTGAGAGGGTGCCCTGTTACCAGGCAGCAGAGACAGCTGTCTTGTGACAGCCACAAGTACCATTGACACCGCTTGTGCTGCAGCCAGACTTTTCTTGAGCACAATCTTCCAGAACAGAGATGGGGCCTGGCCTTGAGAGCCGTTTCTAACAGTTGGACTTTTCCCTGAAGCAATGAGGGAGCCCTGGAAGGCGTGAGGGTGACGTGCTTAGATTTGAAGAGGGGAGACAGCTCTGGTCTCTCTGCAAAGAGTGGACTGGAGAGGGGCTGGGCCGGGGCTTGGAGGGGGCAGAGAGCAAGTCCTGGGGGACCAGGGAGGGGAGTCAACAGCAGCTGGAATTAGGACATGGGCAGTGGCAGTGGGGGAAGTGGGTGGGTTTCTAGAGATATTTAATACAGAGTGGAGAAGGAAAAAGAAGGGTCCACATGTGTAACACCTACTGTGTGCTAGACACAGTGCTGGGCCCCTGACGTTTGATGAGGTCCATACATTTTCCAGAGAGGCTAAACAACATGCCTGGGTAGTGCCTGAGGGGGGATGGAATGAGGGAGAGGGAGGGGCTGACACCCAAGTTTCTGATTGAGTGCTGGGGGCCATCAGTGCTGTTTGCTGGGAGCAGAAGCAGGTTTTTCTGGGCAAGAAAAAATGAGTTCTCCCTTGCTGGGCTCCAGAGCCAGATCTGCTCACTGCTCGTTTGCTCATGCTCATGCTCTCTCTTTTACCTTTGTCTGAAAGGCAGAGAGAGAGAGAGAGAGAGAGAGAGAGAGATCCTCCATCCACAATAGCTGGGGCGGAGCCAGGACAAACCCAGGAGCCATGCATTCCATCCAGTTTCCCATGTAGGTGGCAGGAACCCAAGTATATGGGCCATCATCTGCTGCCTCTCGGTTGTGTTAGCAGGAAGCTAGATCAGAAGTGGAGGCGCTAGTCCAGTCCCAGGCACATGTGGTGGCTTGACCCATTGCACCACAATGCCTGCCCCGGTGTGCAGGGGCCCAAGTACTTGGGCCATGCTCTGCTGCTTTCCCAGGCACATAAGCATGGAGATGGATCTGAAGTAGAACAGCCAGGACTTGAACTGGCATCCATACAGGATGCCAGTGCTGCAGGCCAGGGCTTTGACCTGTTGCACCACAGCGCCGCCCCCTCCCAATCCCCCACTCTTTTAAAGAAGTGCTGTCTTTTAAAGAAGTTGGTATGGTACAGTTGAAACCGTTTTGTCATAAAAGGTTATGACCAAAAAAAAAGTGTGAGCTTCAGTGCTGGGGAATTACCGGTGTGAGTTGTTTTGGGAGCTCTTGAGTTTAGCGTAGCTTTGGGGTTTTTATCCTTGAATCATGAAAGGCAAAAGCTTTGTGTTTCCCTGAGTGGCTACCATCTGAGTGAATTTGATTGTCTTGTTTTGCATGTAAAGCCACTTCTCTGGAAAGGGATTCTTCACCCAAGAGACCTGAGAGAATCAAGGAAAGCTGTTCTGAAAATCTGTCATCTGACCCAAGAGAGCAGAGAGGTGACTGTCTCCTAGGTGAGCAGCAATTAAATGGTATGTGAAAATGTATATTATTTGCCCACTTGGTCCACAGGGTGATCATGCATTTTAGGAATATTTTAAAACATGCAGTCTACATTCTCTCAGCACGGCTTCCATTCGTCAAGCAACTGTATACTCAGAACATGTGGTCTGTGTAGTAGGAGTGGTTTTATAAACCCTCGTTAAGGGGAACGAAACCAAAAGGCATCCTCTGCAGCCCATCTTTCAGAACTGTTGATGCCAACCCAATGTGACAAAAGGACACAGAACCACGCGCCCTCCCTAGCCCAGGAGCGGCTAGCTCAGGGGTGAGCCTGGACTGAGGGGCACAGTTTGGGGCTCCCCCAGGCACTGCTTTAGAAGTAGGCTAGAAGGGGAGAGGGGAGGGGCCGTTGTCAGGCACAAGGGGAAGACTCACAGTGGCCAGCAGAGAGCGGAAAGCAGGGACGTGAGGCCGGGTGGTGATGGAGCAGGGGCCCACCGAGGCCCAGCTCTCACCAGTATGCATGGTGGCCAAGGGGTTAGGGCAGAGGCAACGGGAGTTGGCCACACTTGAGGTGGATATCACAGAAGAAGGAGTGGCAGGAGCCTGCTAACACACCTCCGAGAGAATGTGGAGCCATGGCCCTGTGGCCAGGAGGGCCCTCTGGCTGGGGGGCCATCAACGCCTGCCTGGGTCCCTGCACTCTCTCGCCTTGTTGCTGTTCTCAGGGAGGCAGCCAGCCAACAGTGCGTCACGTTTTCCCTTGTATTCCAGCCCCCCTTAGTGTTCATCAAGTGCTGTGTGCATGTTAACCGGAAGGAAGCAAGCGTTCATTAAGCGTGTCGTTTTCCTAGTCTCAGAGACTCTACGCACCTGGCCAGCAAAGACAAAGAATTAAAGCGTCTAAACTGAACGCACTGGGTGGAAAAGGGAGATTAGGAACTATCTGAGCCATGGCGGCATACTTGTCTTTTTTTTTTTTAAGAAAACCTATCTTTTATTATTAAAAAAAAAAACACAGCTTTTTATTATTTAAAAGACAGAAAGAGATGCCATCCACTGGTTCACTCTCCAGATGCCTGTGATGGCTGGAACTGGGTGAGGGCTGAGCTGAGGCTGAAGCTGAGAGCCGGGAATTCAGTCCAGGTGTTCCACAGGAGCTACCACCTGCTGCCTCCCAGGGCCTGCATTAGCAGCAAGCCGGAGTCAGGAGCCAGAGGCAGGTATTGAACCCAGGTGCTGCAATGTGGGATGCAGGCAACTTAACCCCTAGGCCAAACTCCCACCCCAACTGCATCTTCTTTTTAAGATTTATTGTTTATTTCTTTGAAATGCAGAATTACAGAGAGGGAAAAACAGAGAGAGAGGATTTTCCATCTGCAGCTTCACTCCCCAAATGGCCACAACAGCTGAGACTATGCCAGGCCAAACCCAGGAGCCAAGAGATTCTTCTGAGACTTCCACGTGGATGCAGGAACCCAAGAGCTTGGGCCAGCCTCCACTGCTTTGCCAGGAATATTAGCAGGAAACCTCATCAGAGGTGGAACAGCTGGGTCTTGAACTGGCATCCAAAAACATGTTGGCATAGCAGGCAGTGGCCCAATCTGCTATGCCACCCCCCCACCCCACCCCAACTGCATATTTTTTAAATTTATTTTATTTATTTGAAAGAGTTACAGAAAGAGGTAGAGCTAGAGCACGAGCGAGAGAGAAAGAGAGAAAGAGGTCTTCCATCGCTCCCAAAATGACCGCAACGACCAGAGCTGAGCTGATCTGAAGCCAGGAGCTTCTTCTGGGTCTCCCACATGGGCGCAGGGGCTCAAGGACTTGGGCCATCCTCTACTACTTTCCCAGGCCACAGCTGTGAGCTGGATTGGAAGTGGAGCAGCCAGGACTTGAACTGGCACCCATATGGGATGTCGGCTCTGCAGGCTGGAGCTTTAACCTGATGTACCACAGTGCTGGCCCCCCAGCTGGATCTTAAAGGCCAGAAGAGCTACACAGGGGGGGGGGGAAGGAGCTTAGGAACTTAAGATCCTCTTGGAAGGCTGGTGGGTACACAAAGAAATCCAGCGATTCACCAAAGACTGAGCACACCGGGAAAAGAGAGCGGGGCAACAGAAACGCAGGCAAACAGGAAGGTGAGTCATCGGGAGCAGCTGAGGAGCAGGCGTCATTGGAGGGGAATTTTTGAAAAAGGGAGAAAGGAAAAGGAGAGTGCGGAGAGGGAGCTAGGCAGCTCGGCATGGGCTTCCCTGGGCACTCATCAATGATTGGCGCACTCCAGACCGTATTATCTCCATACGTACAGAGGAAAAGTCACTCTACCAGAAAAGGTGGTGCGCCTCTCTCATTTTGGTTGCGGTATTGTAACTGGAGGATGGTTTTGGCTTTGTTTTTGGACCGAGTCCTAATCAGTGTTAACCTAGGGGTTAAAGTATGACACACACGCATTCTTCCCACGTTTCATGTCTAAAGTCATCGGCGCTGCAGGACAAGGCAGGAAAGGAGCTGGTGAAATGCCTGAGTGAACCTTGGCACGGCCTTGCAGGCTGAAAAAAACAGCTGTGACCTCAGAGCCTGCCCCAGGTGAGGCTGCCAAGTGGCTTTGGGCTTTATCACAGGTCTCATCTTCATCACCTGCAGCATTGTGGCTGTCCTGGACAGCGGGCCACAGGCTGACCCCACTGCAGCATCTCCTAGTCATCATTTCATGAGCACATACTATGAACAAGTGTTGCCATGGATACTGTGCACCCATGGATACTGTGCACAGCCTGCATCTGCTTCCTTCCACAAAACAGGTGGTGGAGGGGGAGGGGCTGGAGCCATCTGCCATGGTGGTCTCCTCGCCCAGCAGTTCTGTGTGCCCACATTTACAGGACCCACCCTGTCCTCCATCCAGGGTGTGTCCCCCTCAGCGTGCCAGCCAGACAGCAAAAGGTGGAAAAATAGAGAAAAGGAGCCCTGGGCAGTGATGTCTGGGACCTGAGAAAGACAGTCGACTCCCCAAGTCCACTACTAGGTCATCTGTCCCTCATCTGACACCTGCTAGGTGCATTAAGGAGCACAAGAGATTGGGCTCTTACGCAGGAAACAGTCACAGAAAAAAATCACTCCATTGGTTAAGAACTGTTGGGTGTTTGTCCAACTACGTACTGGGTAAGGCCTGTTCTCAGCTCTGGAGAGAACAGGGGCCCGAACACACAAAATCCCTGCCCCATCGAGAGCTTGTAATCTAACAGTGCAGGAAGAAAATCACCAAAGTAGACGGCACCTCAGACAGTGACAGGGCAAAGAGATGTAAAGATGGGAAGGAAGACGGGAACTGACGGAGGTTTTTGCACCTTTTCAAATGTTTGATTTATTTTCATTTTATTTGAAAGGCACCGAGCAGGGACTGGGCTGGACCAGGACAAAGCCAGGAGCCCAGAACTCCATTTAGATCTCCCACATAGGCAGCAGGGACCAAAGTCCTTGAGCCATTATCTGTTGCCTTCCGGGGTGCACATCAGCAGGAAGCTAGATGAAAAGTAGAGGAGCCAAGACTTGTACCAGGCACTCTGATAGGAAACGCAGATGTCCCAGACTGCAACTTAGCCTATGTCCCAAATGCCCATCCCCAAGGTGCATTCAGGAGGAGCAACAGTTGAGTAAAGACCTGAAGGAGGTGAGGACACAATCTTGGGAAGAGATCCCAGGCCGAGGGAATGGCAGGGTCAAAGGTCCTGGGATAGGGGAGTTGCCCAGGCACTGGGTGCAGCTGGAGTAGAAGCTGTGGAGAGGACAGTGGGGACTGAGCTAGGGAGGGGAGGGGTGAGAAGTGTCAGAACAAGGAGGGCCTTCAGGACTACTGCAAAACTGCTTTACCAGGAGAGAGATGAGAAATCACTGGAGGGGTTTTAAGTTTTATTTAATTAAAAGTTTTTTAAAATTTTTGATTAACATGTGATACTTGCACATTTGTGTGGAGTAGAGTGCAGTGTTTCAACATGTATATACAACGTGAAGTGATCAAATCAGGCAATTCACATTTCTAGTTCCTTATCTTTATGTTCAGAGCCCTCAAGTTCCTCTCGCCTAGTTCTTTCTTTTTTTCTTTAATATTTATTTATTTATTTTAGAGGCAGAGTGAAAGACAGAGGCAGAGACAGAGAGAGAGGTCTTCCATCGCTGGTTCACTTCCCAGATGGCCGCAACGGCTGGAGCTGGACCCATCCAAAGCTAGGAGCCAGGAGTTTCTTCCAGGTCTCCCACATGGGTGTAGGGGCCCATGGACTTGGACTATCTTCCACTGCTTTCCCAGGTCATAGCAGAGAGCTGGATCAGAAGAAGAGCAGCCAGGATGCGAACCGACACTCAAATGAGATGCTAGCACCACAGGCAGAGGCTTAACCTACTGTGCCACAGCGCTGGCCCCTGGTTCTTTCTTATTTTTACAATGTGTGTATGTGTGTGTGTGTGTGCGTGTGTGTGGAGAGGGAGAACATTTTTGTGAATGACAGTCACCACTGTACTGGGGAACAATAGAACTTATTGCTTTTATCTCTGTTTCAGTACCCGTTATCCAACCTCCCTCTGTCCCCTTTCCCCAGTCCTTTCCAAATTCTAGTAATCTCTATTCTGAGTTCAGATCAACTTCTTAAAAACTTGGACATATAAAAGAGGACATGTGGTATCTGTCTTTCTGTATGTAGCTCATTGCACTTAACATAATGCCTCCAGTTCCATCCACTTTTGCTGCAAATATCAGGATTTCATTCTTTTCTAATGGCTGAATAATATTCCATTGTGTATATATACTACATTGTTTTAAAGATTTATTTATCTTATTTGAAAGGCAGAGTCAGAGAGAGAAGTCTTCCATATGCTGATTCAATCCCTAAATGGATGCAAAGGCCGGAGCAGGGCCAAACCGATTCCAGGAGCCAAGAGCTTCTTCTGGGTCTCCCACATGAGTGCAGGGGTCTAAGGATGTGGGCCATCTTTTGCTGTTTTCCCAGGCACATTAGCAGGGAGTTGGATCAAAAGTAGAGTAGCCAGGCACTGAACTGGTGCCCATATGGTATGCAGCTTAACCCACTATGCCACAGCGCCGGCTGCATACTGCATTTCCTTTATCCAATCATTGATTGATGGACACCTAATTTGATTCCATATCTTGGCTATTGTGAATAGTGCTGCAGTGAACATGGGAGTTTAGGTAACTTTCATAATTCATTTCTTTCAGTTATGTACTGGTAGTGGGATAGCTGGGCCGTAGGATAGATCTATTTTTAGTTTTTTGGAGGAGCCTCCATGCTATTTTCTGAAATACTGAAAGGTTTTGAGCATAGAAGGAAGATGGTTCTAAATTTTTAATCAGCTGACTCCACCTCCTGTGTTGAGAACAGACCATATATAGTTCTATAGGAGAGTGAGGGGTGGCATGGAGAGGCCAGTTGGGAGGGAATTAGGGTTCTGCAGAGAAACTGAACCAGTGGGCTAGCGAGAGAGTGCTGTAGACACACAGGAAGAGGTTTGTTATGAGGGATCGGCTCACATGCTGACGGA